GCATATTTTAAATTGAAATTCAAAATATTTAAAACCTGAAGAGACAAAGGAAGGGTGTATGTGAACTGCAGACAAGCTGCATCTTTTCATAGGGGATTAGGCCTTCATAAAGGGATATATTCTGTTCTCAGTAACACTGTTATAAATCCAGAATGACTCTGCTTAAGTGCTTTCGAAGGTAACTGATTTACACCGGTATAATAGAGCAAAATTTGGCCCAGAGTCTGCAACATTTTGCAATCTTTACATTCTACTTTTTTTGCTATTAAGTTTTTAGATTCTTGCTCTGCTTACGGACAGCAGTGAACAGGAAGAGGATTGACAACATACTATGGGCCCAATCCTGCCAACGCCCACATGCCTCCTGAGAGTTGCTGAGCACTCCCAACTTTCATGGAAGCCAACAGGCAGGAAGACCTCAGCCCCTGACAGAATGAGATACAATGGCACCTGGAAAGTTTGTAATTTCTTTTTAACATGTACATTTTAACATTTTTTAATTGCACTCTATTGTATTCTTCTGTATGGAAGGACCAAAAATAACAGGGAAACCAACAAAATTAGACTGTTTTGCCAAGTATTTCTCATTAACCACAATGATAAATTTCCTGGATTAAGGAAGAAAATTACTTGTCTTAATAGAGTCCCATTCTACAACTGGAAGCCAAATAAAATATAACAAATACAAAAAAATAATACAGTGTTGGTACAAAAAGGGTAATTTGCACTTGTAATTTGAAATGAAATTGTGTGCATTAGTTTAATCAACTGCATTACAATTACAATGAGTATTTGGGTCAAAACATTTAATTGTTTCTTGAATGCTACCAAAGTTACTCATGTATTTTAAATGTCTTGGAAAAGGCTAGGTTCAGCTGATGACTCATTTCTTTCTGCTTTCTTTAAAAAAAAAAAAAAAAAAAAAAAAAAACTACTTAGTTCAAATAACCTTACGGTGTCAGTGTCTAAAGGAAGACAGGAGTTATAATTGTTTCTATTGTTTAACAACTCAGCATTATAACGTCACATGTATAATAGTGTGACAGCAAGCCCTTTCAGAGCCTTTTATGTATTATTGTGAAGGGGCTGCACAGTACAATGGTCATAAGAGGTTGCTTTGTCTATTGCTGCACCAGTTCTGGTATAATAGAGCAGTTCTGTGAATTATCATGGACCAGATCTTTCAATCCTTATTCTTGCGAGTAGTCCCACTAATATCAATGGCTCAGATCAACCACCAACACCTGGATTTTGGATGGGCCCTGATCCTGGTCAGAGCATGCCCTACCAGATCAGACGCAAAAGGCAAGATATCTTCCCCTGGTTTGATGATCATGCTGGGGCTTAGGCAGATAGGCATCCAGATGCTTAGAGTGAGGCATTGTGTGCATGCCCGGAGGCAGAAACATAGGTGCTTAGGGAACTTTTACCACAAAAACATAGGCACCAAGTGAGTTCAGGCACCTACAGGATTATGCGCAGATGAGCATGGGTTTTGAAGATCTCAGCAGTGCCTAAATCCAGGGTTTAGGCACCTAAATTCCTTTGTGGATGTGGGTCAATGGGACTGCTTATATCAGTAGAAGATAGCAGCGTCAGGCCTACACTGGAGAACTCGTCACATCTGTTCAGTCAGGAGCTACACATCAGGAAACGGCTATCAAATTGGTTGTAATAAAATCCTTATGTTGGTTTCAAATCAGAACCCTTCAGAAGGAAAATAACTTATTCAACAGTGCAACTTTTTAAATCAAGATTATTGCCACTTACAATGCTACCTGTGTATTCACCAAAGCTACTCTTTCCTGGCTTCCAGTCTAATGCCATATTTATGCATGTAAAGGTTAGAGCATTATCTTTGCTACAAAGACAGCTTCAATCTCTTGTTGGTATTTGCTTAAATGACTTGAATGCTGTCTGTGTGGGAGCTGAAAGACTATTACTTGGTTCTGTGACAATTTCAGGTGCGTCGGTGAATGGGAGATTTTCTCAGTAAGTCGACTGCACATTACCAACAGGAACTGATATGATGCAAAACTCAGAATGTGTCTTTGTTTTCATGCTAAGCAGTAATTATTGAATTTTAGGCACAATTTGGAGAGCCCAGAGGCTGAGCATGTAAATTAATGTTTACCTTCACTTACATCACTTTCTTTATTAATATAATTTAGAATTCACATTTAACTGATATAAATGATGCATGCAGGCCATGAAATGCCTTAAAATATATACCCACAGACATTGCTAGCATCATGCATTTCCACAGGGATAAGCTGAGATTTGTAAAGCTGACTAGGAGATTTAGGCACACCATTCCTATTTAAATGAGTAGTAGTTTTGTGGCTAATCACCTATTCATCTTTGAAAAATCTCAACCTATGCATCTGTTTAATCACAAATATCCCAATAAAGAGTGCTTTGTGAAGGAAACTAAGGCTACCGCAAAACAAGAAACAAATAACTTTTTATTTTATCTAATATAAAAATAAATGTTTCTTTTTTTAGCTAGTTGTGTGTCTCAGTAAGAATCCAAGGCAGAACAAAATAATTCAAACTATTGTTTATTTGCACAGCTAAATAAAGATCAAATAATGTACACAAGGTTATGCCTAAGTAACATTAAGGGCCACTCTGCATTACTTCCAGCCCCTAAGAGTTTTTGGTGCATCAGGAAATCAGGATCAGGTTAAAAGATTGTGACAGACCAATAAAAGCAAGGAAACACAAACCTAAAGGCAAAATCAGCTCTTTGCAAGCCCTAATACGCAAGCTGTCCACCCCCCTTGACTTTCAGACAGGAAGAGAAAAAGAGGGACACCTAGCAATTCCCAATTCTCCCTCTCCCTCCACGGGTAGATTTTTTTTCAGGGGTGTTTGGGGATGGTTGAACTTGAATAAGGTTTTCTGGATGCTCTTTCTTCCACTACAACTTCACACCTAACTCCTGTTAGGAGACTCATGGGGGTAACTGATGCCTTTAGGGCTGAGAGGAAAGGGCAGGATGTATGTTGCTGCCTGAGGCAGGGAACATAACTATCGGGGCTATTCACAGTACTAACCACTATGCCGAGGAGGAGCTGTTTGCAAGATCAGGCCTATGAATGGCATTTTTGAAACAGATTAGAACAGTTCGAATATATTTGGTATTAATGCCAGCAGCCAGATCAATAAAGGAGACACAGAAGGTTCCTCTAGAAGTGGTTTCACTTCTACTTGTTCCCTAAATGTAAAAAATTAAATTGGAAAATTGCATTTACAGGCACAAAGAAACAAAAAAACTAGCACAAAAAATAGAAAAAAGGTGAATAACTGAACATGATAGAAAATAGGCCAGGATTTTTGTTAAAACGAATTAAACAACAAGGATGCTAAATGGACAAACATCAAGAAACAAGTAAATCCAGCAAGATAAAAAATTCAAAGGAAAATAGGCAAGGAGATGAAATAACAAAGAAAACAAAACAAAAAAAGATGTTGAAGGTAGAGCTGGGTGGTTAATTGTTTTCTGCAGAACATTTTGAAATATTTTCATTTTTTTCAAAATTTCCCACAAAAATGTATTCATTTTTTGACAGAAAACCCAATTTCAGTTTTCACAAACTGAAACATTTTCTGTTTTTTCTGCCTTCCCCCCACACACCTTTTTTTCCTTTTACACACCCTTTTCCAGAGGCAATGTCACAAAAATGTTTTCGCTTTTACATTGAAAAACTAAAACATTTTGACGGAAATGAAAATTTTCTGCTAAAATGTTTGATTAGAAAAACTACTCATTTAGACCAGCTCTCAGTGCACCCTTTCTCCCACTACTGTCCATATTATAGTATAGTATCTTTTAAGAATCTGATCCTAGATTCTGTGATTGTAAACATCTTGGGGCAGGGACCAGTGCTTTTAAATTTCTGCAAAATGCACAGGACACATTTTGGTGCTACATAAAGAATTCACAACAGTGATAATAATGCCATTGCTGAGGTAGAAGAAAAAGAAATTACACCCATTCATAGATTCCATAAACAGAATTTGAAGTTAAATGAAATAGAGTGAAATGTACAAATATGTAACATATTACAAACAAGAGCAATTTGTCTTTGTGATCTGAGTTGACACTGTCAATAATTGGCAGTTTATAATTACAGCATATGTGCCTTATCCTGCAGAGTGTTGGATGTCCCCTGATCCTATGTTTAAGTAGTGCAGGAACCACATCTACAGTATTTTATATGATTTTGAAATTTTCTAGTCAGGGAATACCAGAAAACCTGAAAATACAGAATCAGTGGTTTCATCAGCTATCAGGCCATTTTGAGATGCATTCAAAATCTGGAGCCAAACTTTATCATCTTCATTAAGATGAATAAATATAGATCCAGAAACCTGACACACATTATATGCAGCTTGTTTGACAGGTCTTACACTGGACATTTGTAGAATTCTTTTACCATTGTGGAAAAGTGCACCCCTCAGTGATTTGCTGGAAACACTCACGTGGTAACTGAAAGAGTAGATGCCTCCAGTGCTGGCTACAAACACACCTGATTCCACATTATATGCTTCATTTTCATTAAGGAAAATTTTATCAAATCTCACTGGAGACCCTGGTGGTGGGAAGCTGTTTCTTTTTTGAAGACCAACGGAGAAAGCTGTGATGTCACTTTCTTTGCAATCTCCCTTCTGTCCTTTTTCTCCTTTTCGTCCTGGAAGTCCAGATGGCCCATGTTTTCCAGGATGACCCATTTTTCCATAAACCCCAGAATCTCCTTTAAGACCTGGAGCCCCCCGGACTCCTGGTGGCCCTGCATATCCCTTTGGCCCCCTCTTACCTGTTTGCCCTCTTTCTCCTTCATGCCCCTTTTCTCCAGGACTCCCACTCGGTCCAATATCACCTTTTGGACCCGATTTTCCACACTCCCCTTTGTCTCCCTTAGGTCCTTGAGGACCTCTAGAACCAGTGCTTCCAGCATCACCTTTATTGCTGTTTGGACAGGAAGAAGACCGACCTTGTTCTCCTTTCTGACCAGGAGGCCCTGGTTTACCTAGATCACCTTTGGATCCTTGATTACCCTTTTCTCCCTTTAGTCCTTGTTGTCCAGTTTCTCCCAAAGGCTCTTGTACTCCTTTTTTCCCTGGGTTACCTACAAAGAAAACATTTGTATTTCAGATATTACCATCCTATATATGCTCTTTGTCAAGTGTGAAATGTCCCAAACAAACATAAAATTCCATATCAGAATGTTCACTTGACATTTTCATTTTATAATGGTCATTCAATACTGTGTGATTATAGAAAGCTAAGCTGTAAATTTCCTATGTGAAAAATTACCCATTTGATATATTTTACAATAGACAAATATTTAAAAGAATGAAAAGTCTTATCACCTCATGCTATTTGTCATTTGTACATTACCCCACCTTTAAAAAAAATACAAAAAAACCATTTTGTTAGATTAAGGACATAATTTTAAAAATATGTGTGTTTATGTTTTTAAAGGTTCTGAAGATGAAATTTAAATTATGTAATTTAGAGATGGGTCAAAGTTCAAATCTGGATCTAAACTTCTCCAAAATTTAAGTGCGCTGGATCCAGAGGTGTAGATTGGAGCCATCTCTAGTCTGATGTTAAGGTTTCATGCTATATAGTGAACTATAGCGTTTAGGAGTGGTCATCATGCCATCTCAAAAGAAGACATAGTAGTGGTGCTACTTGAAGAACTACACAATTAAAGATGGTCAGCCGCTCCATTCTGAAATCATTTGCAGGCTTTAATGACCTATATAGGATTTAAATCAAGGCTAAGGGGCCTGATCCTCTAAAGTAGGGGTCGGCAACCTTTCAGAAGTGGTGTGCCGAGTCTTCATTTATTCACTCTAATTTAAGGTTTCGCGTGCCAGTAATACATTTTAATGTTTTTAGAAGGTCTCTTTCTATAAGTCTATAATATATAACTAAACTATTGTTGTATATAAAGTAAATAAGGTTTTAAAAATGTTTAAGAAGCTTCATTTAAAATTAAATTAAAATGCAGCGCCCCCCCGGACAGGACCCGGGCAGTGTGAGTGCCACTGAAAATCAGCTCATGTGCCGCCTTTCGCCTGCATGCCATAGGTTGCCTACCCCTGCTCTAGAGGCTTACACACATTAGTAGCTTTAAACATTACCTATTCATGGGATGACACATATGAGTAAATGTTTGTAAATTTTTAGAGCCTGGACTTGCAAACATAGGCTCATCCTTGATTTTTCTTTTCAATACAACATTCGAAAAATTTGGTATATTGTGGTGACAAAAAAGTTACATTAAACAAGTTTTTTTAGAAACATTTTTTATTTAGAAAAGAAATTACTGTTCATGTGGAGTAATCTTTAAAAATAATTCCAAAGGGTTTCTTGTTGGCTGCAATAAGGATAAATCCTCTAATTTTTTATGCTATCGTAATTTGTTTATCAAGGGGAGAATAGAACCAGTACAAAAACTGCACTGATACAAAAGAATATGCCCAGATATTATCCTGTATTATGCCTAAAATTTTCTAAATTTGCTTAATGGTACCTTAGTTGCTCCTAAATGTGGATTTATTACACGTGTTAAAGTGTAATAGCTAGAAAGGTCCAAAAGCTACAATTTAGTAACTCCCTAAATGCTTGTTTACATGAAAGACTATAAACGCTTCATGATAGCCATTTCAGTCTATTGAATCAATAGCGCTAGTCTTGAAGAATCCCTAAATACATATTTAAAGTATCAGTAAATTGTGTTTATTTATACACCAGATAGCAATGATTCCAAATGAACCATTATGACTCATCATGCTGAATCTCATATACTTCTAGAAAGGTTTGCACTTTTCTTAGCTACCATTAACAATGCTAGATGTGCTATAAACTAACACATGCGCACATACATGTGATCAGTGACACCATGAGTTTTGACACAAAAAAGCCAGTGCAATCAGGATGGTCCTCAGCTTGTCCGAAGGTGTCTATTGCAGGTACAGCAAGAATAGCAAATTAGCACACAACACTGTGTGTGACATGTGATACAGTGGCTAGGCACAATAGGACAAGGCAGGTTTTGTTTTGTTTACATTCTGTAATTTCATGCACAGTCAGTGCATAACCAAGCACAGAATCCAGATTTGTAGTTGCTGAGCATGATACTGATGCATCTGCTTTTACCTAGGAAATAATTGAGCTCATTTGAAAAATGTAGCTGACAAAAGGCATTAAGTGATAAAATTACCTGGATCCCCTTTTTCACCCCGTTCTCCCTTTTGTCCTTCAGGCGCAGGACTGTCACAGAAGCACTGTTTTCCTGCTGCACTACTGTTTTCCTTTGATGTATTAATTGAGAAAGAAGCAAAGTGATCATCAAATACAATGCTTTCATTAGCACCAAGTAATGGGATTAAGATGGTATTGTTTTCCTCCTCTCTAAGATCAATTGTTACTGAAAAAGTGTTCTCAGTTTTTGTGTTGGTAAATACTTCTGAACTGACTGGTTGTTTAGGGCCAGTAGAAGTGGGCTTCAGCTCTTGAAGGTTAATGTTATTTTCCACTTCAACTGCCTCATTGTTAAAGAGAGAGGTTGCTGGGGGTGTTACAGCATGCTGGGAACTTACGTGAGTTCCAACATCTGCGACTGGATCAGTTTCATTTGTCCCCAGGTCTGGAACAGGGGGAACAGTAGATGCTTGTTTAGGATCTTCAGTTTCAGCAACACCATTGAGGGCATCCATTGTGAATAACTGGTTGGGAGCTAGACTGAAGATAGTTGTAGATGCTACAGGACACCAGACACTGCACAGCAGAGCCTGTGTCAGGAATGTAGAAATCATTCCGGCAATAGTCAGAAAGCACACTGTAAAATAAAAGTGACCAAATTATAGCCATGCTCTTATGAAAGACAGAGGTCTGAATAGACAACCATGAACACTCACATTAATAGGAACATAAAGTAATTAAAATGACAGACTGAGTGTATTTCAGTGAAGTAACTTGCACTCCTGAGTGCACTCCTGAGTCCTGCCATAGGCCCAGTTATGTAGGACTTCATTTAGGGGCATAAAGGCCAAAATTTACACGTTTCTTATGTATTACAAGAAGACAAAAAGAGGGGGGACTTCTCTTTCACACATGCGCACACGCACATGCACACGCACACGTGAAATGTGAAGGGGACAGCTCAGAGAGGGAGAGGGGAGGGAAAGTGCCAGTGTAGTGTAATGCTATATGTGGTGGTCTTCACACAGCACTGATCTACATGGCTAATACCCACAAAGGAAGGAAAGAGTGGCTTGAGACCACTGCTCCCCCCGATCCAGAAGCAGTGAATGTATCCAGGTAACATAAGGTGTCTTGGAGCTTCTTTCCAATTTGGGAGTTAGAATCTCTTCAGCTTCCTGGGAGCCTTTGTGGGTAGATTCGGAATGGGGCCCATAGACCGCAACAGGTAACCAAGTCTCAAAATAAAAATACTTAGCGTTTATAAACCATTTCCACTCAAAGATCTCAAAGTACTTCACAGACATTAACAAATTAAGCTTCACAACCCCTCCTGTGAGGTTGGTGTGGCAACTTTTATTAGCCCCATTTTACAGATGGGGAAACTAAGACAAGAAAAGCACAGAGAGGCAAAGCAACATGTCCCAGGTCACACAGCAAGCCATTGTCAGAACCATGGTTAGAACCCATGTCTCTGGAGACGCAGTCCCATGCTCTAACTGCTAGACCTGGCTGCCTCCAACAATTAATCCAATTTGCTTCCCCAAATTTCTATCTTCTTCTCTTCCCAGTGCTAAATGCAAGAGAAAACTATCTGGCAGATTTCACCAGAGAGGTTTTAAACTTGCAAAAACACAGACTTAATGAACTTCAAAGTACTGTATCTTTCTACAGTATATTTATCTGGAATCAGAAAACAAAATTAAGGATTTAAATTGAACACACTGAAGAAACTATGAGATTAAGGTTTTGGTTTAACCAGCAGTACAAGAGCAAAGGAAATTTTAGTTAAGCATTTAACAGCACTCTCAAATGAGCCTGTGGGTATTATTATGTATATCAATAAATAAATGTCTATCAGGGATGGTCTAGACAGTATTTGGTCCTGCCATGCGGGCAGGGGACTGGACTCGATGACCTCTCGAGGTCCCTTCCAGTCCTAGAATCTATGAATCTATGAAATAAGTACATTCTTCCAGAAAGGAGGGCTCAGACTACTATTTTGTTATTATCAAGATCAATATTATGGTACCAAAGTGTTTTTTTGACTTGCAATAATGATGAGGAGTGAGTCTTGTACACATACAACAAAAAGACAAAACAGCACTTAGGTTATATCTAAAACATTTTAGTTAACATGCTAGTACATTTTAAAACCCTGGTGTAGACACGGGACAAGTTGTTTTTTAACATGTGTTAGTTGGCAGAGATGAACCCTAGCAGTTGCACTGCCTACACTATGGTGTTAAACATGTTTTCTAACATGTTTTTAAAAGACCCCTTTTGGCCTAGCCCAGACACACCCTCAGGGGTTAACAATCCCAAGGCTTGAAAAATCCACTTGCCCCTGAAGACGGATGAATGTCAGCAACCTCCGCAGCATCTAAGCTCACACATTCAAACATTGTATTTCTAGCGCTTATGGCTTTGATTAAAGCCTTTTAAATATAAGGCATATGCACTAATCAGTCCATATGCAGTAAAAATTCCCACTGCAGCTAAGAGGATTAAGACAGAGCAGGATGAGTCCTTTCCTTGTGCACACATAGTTTCCGCCCCATTGATATTAATGGGAGCTCTTCACATGGATGAAGAGAAAATACAGATCGCATAACATATTGAATTGTAGAAAAAGAGTAGTAAAGATACACTATCAAATTCATTGCAAGCTTCTTACCTGAAAGAAAATCTGCAGATATATAGGCTTTTTCAGCATCCACAAAACTGAAAACTCGAACTGAATTAACAGACTTAAATACCAAAACAAAGAACAAAGACTATGTATACAGTACAATAATTAAAGACACACACGCAGGAAGATCAGTATTTCTTCATAATAAATAAGCATCTGTAGGAAAGGCTGCAAAAGGCAATGGTTTGTTCATCCTTGTGCCCTCATAATTAAATTTTTTTTCTTCACAATTTCTTTTTTGATGTATAAAATAATACCTCAGAACTCAACACCTATTATTATATCCAATAACTGTTATTTATGGGGATAATGGACAACCAGCCTCTACAGAAAAGCATATGGAAAATGCATTTAACTGTTGAAAGGAACAAAGGCCAAATCCTGAATCAGGCATAGGTTCCACAGAAAAGGTAGTAATTTTGCCTGAATAAGGACTTTAATAATTTGGACCAATGTTAGAAAGTAATTTATAAAAAAAACTCTAGAGCTTAAAGGGCCAGTTAGGTCAAATTTGGACAAGATACAGCTGTTATAAAAATAAGGTTTTAGATTAACAGAAATATTTCAATGATCTTAGAGTTTTATAATTCCAATAGAGACAGACACTGGGACAAATTGATTCTCAGCTGGTTAAACCAGCATGGCACCACAATTAGGCTGATTTATGCCAGCTAAGAATCTGACCGTGGTTTAAAAAATATTATTATTCATACCTATGTCTCTTAGCCTGCCCCAAGAGCAAACAGTTCGTTTCACCCACTGGGTAACACTATTACATGTAAGAGAAACTGAGGCACACATAGGATTCATAAAAATATTACAAAAATGCCCACTTCAATTCACCTCTATGATACAGACCTCCCCACTTCAGGCCCTATGGAGGACTCTGCACAATTCAGGGTGAGTGCTAGGGGAGGGAATGAGACTGGGTGAGCAGGGAAGGGAGTCATGGATGGGGCAGGGATGCAGATCATTCCCCATCTGACTGCAGAAATTAGACAAAAATGAACATAGAGACGAGGGCCATATTATCTTTTACCCTTTCAAGGGTCTCGGGAACAACTATTGGAAAGGGGTGCTCCTGGCAGCCTGGCTCCCATGCTGGCAGGGGGGTCTGTTGGAGCTAGAGCCATTGAGGAAGAACCAGAGATTCCACCAGGTTTGGGGTCAAGCCCTGCAGCCTTTTCCATGTGGTGGCAATCTGCTCCTGACTCCCTGCAGGGGACACTGGGGGAGAGCGGGATCTCTGTTAGGAGATCTTCACAGAGATTTAGTCCTTGTAGAAGGTGTTGTCCTGGCCCTTTAATCTTTAGTGGCAGTTTCCATCATAATACCATTTTAGACCATTGCAGACATTATCTGTTCCACTAGAGAGCAATGTTAAACCACCTAGTTTTCCTTTGTTCCACATTGTTGAAGGAAGCACCTGTGCATTAGCACAGACAACTATGCTGCACTCATTTGCTGTTAGCAACACTGTACCACAGAAGATATTTGCAACCAAGGTAAACAGTAGCCAGCAGCCTGTTCACCATTTGATTATATAGGGAATAAAAACACCATGAAGGTTTTTTCCTATCAAATAATAACAATTCAATGACAATTTATATTAACAAGCATTTGGTGTCCATTTGTGTTATATTACAGCACTGCATTTGAAAAGAAAAGAAAAGAAAAGAAAAGAAAAGAAAAGAAAACTTGTATTATTACCCCTAATTTTCTGGAGATGATGGAGTCTTTAACAAGCAGTGCATTATGAAGTTTTTAATAGTCTTTCATTTTTGTTTTTACTCCAAACTGAAAGAATATTTCTATCCTGACTGGCCTGTCTGTTGACTCACTGATTCTCACAAACACACAGTTTGCTTTAGGGGGCACACACCAGCATGGATGTGCACTATATCCTCCCAGATTTGTTGTCAGCTTCACAGATGAAGCTATTAGTGAATAGCTCCACTGGCTCCCTTCCTACTGGGGTGGCCCCCTACACTGTGGGTATTTCCAGGGGCAGGAGAAGGGTTATGACTGAATAAATTCCCCACCCCCATGTTCTTATGTGAGATTCATTAGATGGTGGAATAGTTCCAGTCCATTGCCTACCTATCCCTATGACAACAGGCACCCTTGTTACAGTCTCCACACAGAGGCCATGCAGTTTTGTTTTTGAAAGAAACTTATTCTACAAAATTCCTAAAATTAAAGGTTGATTTGACTTAAGTCACCCATAGTTCATGATGTCATCAAACTCGTTGAAATTAGAGACATAACATACAGCTACTTCATTATTACTATGTCCCTCAGGAGACAATTTTTTGTAGGATCCCAGTCATATTACTGTACTAGGTTTGTTTGTTTGAATAATAATAATACAAACAAACAAGGGAATATGATTCAAATGTCTCATCCCTTTTCAGATATAAAAATAAGGATCAATTTCCTCTACACTAAATTCTGAAATCACAAACAAGTTCTGTAAAGATTACAGCTTAATCGATACCGCCACATGATCCTGGGATGGAACATACAATACTTGTTTTTTAACTAGCAGTTAGTGTAATTCACAAATTTGTATGTACACCTATAACCTTTGCAATTCAGATCACTTCACAGGAAAAGGTGGAGCCATTTTCCTATATCTTTATTTAGATCCTTGATTATAAACCAATGCACTTATGTGACGAAATTATCAAATCTGAGTGAAGTCTCTATCAAGTACATTTAGAACAAGAAAGAACAAAAGAAAGAAAGAATGAACAAATGAACCCAGATAGGTTAAAATGTGAAGACATTCATGAAGGCAACTATAATATTGTATTTCTCAAGAATCAGGAAAAGGATAGATTAAAACTTTAATGACCCTGAAAAGGAAGATCAAAAATAAAATATCTTGAGAAAGTGATTTAATATAGTATAATCTCAGTCAATCCAATACAAGCTATAGTTTAGTGAGGAGTGGGTAAGACTAGAACCACAGAGAGCTAACATATCTCTGTTTATCATTGGACATAGGTTACATATGGTGTAATGAGTCAGTTGCAAGTGATGGTGTAAATTCATTTCAGTGGGAGAGTGAAGACAGTAAATAGGAACAAGTTTGTGAATTCTCCCTTCTTACCTCTCTCATCTCAAACCCTACCCCAAACTTTAAAGCATGGGTTTGTTTAGATTCCGATTTCTGCTAAATTTTACAAATTAAGGAAAGTATCTACATACAACTGTTATTGTACTTGGGTTATGTAAAGTTATTTTCATATATTTGGTTCCTAGAAAATCCCACAGGTGTGGATGGCTGCCAAGTTTTAAGAGATTTTGGATTTAAAATAGGCAATATTTACAAAAGGTAAACACCACGATTACTTACACAGCAGTGCCCTATTAATCAGTACAGGGCAGGTGTTGTTATTTAAGACTCTTTATTCCAATTTTGTTGACTAAGCCAAATATGATCAGTTTTCAGCTAATTATTACACACAGGAAAGAAGGTCTCTCTATCTCCATATCCCTGCCACTTTCTGCTAGGAAAGCCGGATTTTAATTAAAATTATGAGCCTATATCTTTACTAAGAAAGATACAGTGTCAAGGACTCAGTGCAGACATCAGTGCTGCCAACTTTCATGGTTTTATTATGAGTTTTGAGATATTTGGTGTTTTTCAGGAAACCACACCTCCTGGAGTCCTGTGACTCTCAGCTTTCATTGAAAAGGTAAGCTTCTAATCATCATATTGTAGAAAACGCTTAAAAAGTGAGCCCTAAAAGCTCAAACACAAGAAGGTAAATAAAATACCTCTAAATTTATTATTTTTAAAAATCTCATTATTTTTATGCTAAACTAATGATTTTGGGGGCCTGATTCATGATCTTTGAACACCTAGAGTTGGCAATACTTAGACATCCAGCAGCCTGATGTGAAGAGATAATAAACAATGTTTGTGGGTTTGATTACAGCAAGCTGTTTCCCCAGCCAGAGAAAGGAAGGAAAGCTCACAACATGATCAAGCCCTTTTTAAGTTTACTGACTACCACAAACACCACAAAATAGACAACTTAGCTGAAAGCACTGCTCATATTCTACAGAGGCTATACCTGCCTCAACCAGGTTGGGGGGATAGGGGATAAGGAAGGAGGACAAACTCTTCCACTGAGACCTCCTCATACCCAACTTCCTCTTCCTTAAAATACCCCATCCAGCCATACCAGGAGGCAGGGGATCCTTAACTCTTTCCTGGCTGTTGTGTCTACCTACCAATTAGCACTATGGGTCCAAACCATAACTTCGGGTCTGAACCACCACCAGATTTTGTGGATGTTCAAATTCAGACCCCCTAGACCCAGACCCTGACCCCTGTAATTTTTGAAGCTGGATCAAAACATGGAAGAGGCCTGATTTCTGGATGTGGCACAGATGCTACCCTAGATTACAGAAGTTTCTTGAAAGATGTCTCAGGAGATTTCAACCCATGATGAAATTGTAGGCTGAAATCTTACCAGTAGAATGAAAACATGAATTATCAGTCACAAAATCTTTGACTGTTTGGTACGACAAAGCTATTTTTCTCTGTTCAGCTAATGAACATGTATGTGTTTCTATATTCATTCCTTGAGATATAGAAATAACTCTCCTCTACCTAATGGAAAAGTGGCAATGCATTCTCACAGATGAACTTGTGATGACATGAAATACTAAATACAAGCTGAATTAATACATAGTAACTAGAAATATGTCCAAACAGTTCAGTGTTCTCCCACTATTAAAAAACAAAATCTATGAAAAGGCACTGTCCTGACATCAGTTTTCGTGTCCAGTCTATTTTGCCTCTTGTGGACAATTTCCTTTAGTCTACACACAATTCCCTAGGTTTTATCTGTCCAATAGATGGCAATGTTAGACTATCAGACATTGCCTCATTGTTCAAGTCAGCCTTGCCCTTCACTAGCAAAAGCTATTGTGCTACACTTATTAAAATGCTGTAATCATTATCTTTTTTAATACTGTGAAATCCAGGCTACTAACTGTTTTATGAGACAGTGGCTTTATAGATCTATACAAGACCAGATTTCATTCAGCATGGATTCTTGTCCTGCTCATTCCCAGAACCATGTTGATAGGAAGTGATGTGGTTTCCCTTGCAGTTCATTTTTTTAAAGCATAATGATAGATATGACAACCTTGAAATGAAATAAGGAAATGGGAATATTTTCCTTTCTCTATGCCACCCACTTCGGATGAAAAACAAGAGTATGACTCGTTATAAAGCAAGATTGTTAGTCAACTTAAACCCAATTTATGTTAACAACGTTGGTTAGTAAGCATATTTTTTATGCCACAACCGTAAAACCTTAATTGCAACTATAACATCCTGACACAATAGCATCTGTGTGTAGTGCTAAGGACTTGCCGGAAGTTTGGGTAAGTTTTGTTGGTAAAAACAATGAGATGATACATTTCATATAAAGTAAAGTATCTATAAATGTTTAAAATATTGTAAAGCATAGTGATATGGGAAGGAAATTGCCTGATAGAGTGGCATGCAATTTAGGTCTGGGCTAAAGCCCATTGAAGTCAGTGGCAAGACTCACACTGACGACAATGGGCTTTAGATCAGGTCCTTAGTGATGGTGCAAGTTATAAAATCAACAGTACTGGAAAGAGAAGTTCTCTGATTATCTTCAGACAAAGGATAGTATGGGCAGTAATTATGTGACATCAAGGCTCAATTACATTCCCCGCTCTTCCAGAGGTGAGAAAGTATAAAGGATGAACAGTTTGTTTGGTTGTTGGCCTCTCCCAAAACTTCCAGACAAGCAGGATATTTTATGAAGTGGCAATGATTACTGGAGTGGAACAGAGTCAGTACCCCTGGAATTGATTTCTACCTCTACCACTGACTTGCTGTGTGACCTCAAGAGTAGTATAAGGGGCCTACCATCAATCAAACTAGTCCCCACCCCTGGGGGTATTACTTCTGGGGTCTAGAAGGACACATGACCGGAAGCAAAGGCTATCATGTGACCCCTTTAAGAACTCCTCCCACTGCCCTCTATCAATGAGGATGGGTTTCAGCCACAGAGGACCTCCTCGAGAGGAGATTTTTGTTGCCCTTTTCTGAACCTTTTCCAATTCCAATATATCTTTTTTGAGATGGGGCAACCACATCTGCACACAGTATTCAAGATGTGGGCATACCATGGATTTATATCGAGGCAACATGATATTTTCTGTCCTATTATCTATCCCTTTCTTAATTATTCCCAGCATTCTGTTCGCTTTTTTGACTGCCGCTGTACATTGAGTGGATGTTTTCAGAGAACTATCCACAATGATTCCAAGATCTCTTTCTTGAGTGGTAACAGCTCATTTAGACCCCATCATTTTATATGTATAGTTGAGATTATGCTTTCCAATGTGCATTACTTTGCATTTATCAACATTAAATTTCATCTGACATTTTGTTGCCCAGTCACCCAGTTTTGTGAGATCCTTTTGTAGCTCTTCGCAGTCTGCCTGGGACTTAACTATCTTTAGTAATTTTGTATCACCTGCAAATTTTGCCACCTCACTGTTTACCTCTTTTTCCAGATCATTTATGGTTGTGAATAAAAAACCAAGGACTGAAAGCTCCTGTGATGCTGGGGTATCTCCTTATGAAATATCTGAAAATTATTACGAACCATTCTCCCAACACAATAAGCTCAGCACAGCTCTTCGGTATTCTAAGAAGATTTTGGAAAATTATGACGCTTCGTTCAGAAAGCTGATGGGCGCTGTATCCTCAGGAGTTCTTAAAAAACAGAATTCTAAAAAGCTTTGGGGAAAATATGATGCTTTGTAAAGGGGGGACAGCATTTGGGGGATAAATGGATGGGTGCCCAAAAGTTACGGGCCAGGGTCACTGTAAAAAATTTTTAAAAGGCTAAAGAGGTGATAAGGAGAAAACAAACAAAAGAGATGCCCCCTATTGGAGGCTCTCAAACTGGTGTGTCTGAGAATGGGGAGGCGGAATCTGACATTCAAGGTGGTGGTGACTCTCACACAGAGTCTGATTTAGAAAATTCCCCAGAAGGCTCTCTAGACGGGTCCCTGTCTACTCCTGATGATCCTCGCCATGGCCCCTCGGCATCTGACTCTCAAATAGCATCTCACATAGAAAACGCAGCTGATAGTCCCATAGAGGAACCTCCAAGTAACCCTGAAAATGCAGATGCAGACCCCCAAACAGATGTGTATATGGAGCGAGTGAGAAGTTGGCAATGGGAATTACCTAGATTTGGGGGTTCGGTGTATTGTGAGGAATTTCGTTTTGTCAATCTTGAGCGAATAAATTCAGCTCAGCAAGTCGTTGAAGCCATACACAGAGGAATACAGTTAGTTCTCTATGACCTTAACAGTAGGGTAGCCCCTGACGATTACATTCAGTTACGTTTAGAGAGCCATAATTTAACCAACCCTTTGTTTTTGGTAAGAACTAGGGATGAGCTGTCTGCTGAAGACTTCTTAAATCAGAACTCAAAGCTGTTACAGAGTAATAGAGAGATGCATGTCGATGGGACGTTGCGCCTTGTTGTGACAGTTGTAAAAACCATGGGTGGGGGTGGCAGTAGATTTAAATTCTATCCTCAATAGTCAAAATCATCCATAAAAAGAGACAGTGTTTAGTAGACCTGACTTACACCGGTACCAATCTGTGTTTCGTGGGTGGGCTCTTGGCCGTCATGGCCAACTGTAAACCCACAGATGCGGAGTTCTTAGACAGGGAGAGAAAGTTGCATGAGAAACTGGGGTGGTCAGATAAGATTGTGCTCATTTTTCTCCAGTTTCTCTCCACTTCTGTTTTCCTCCTCCTCTCCCCTTCATTTTCACTCCCTATGGCAGATCAGCACTACAGAGGCCTATGCTATTTCCTTCTCCTCCCCTGGGTCTGCGCTATAGTCCAGGACTAGATCTTTCAAACTATCAAAGTTGATCTTTTCACAGTTTGCTAGGTTCAGGGTAATCTCTTTGACTTTCATACAGGTCTTTCCTCCCGACAGCTTGTACCCGTATGTTTTCGGGCCGGCTGACACAAACTCGGTGATGTGTTGATCTGGCGGGATCTTGCTTGTGAGGTCCCCTAAATAATCCCCCAGAGGGGGATTCCAGTCACCCTCCTTTTTCACAAATATCACCAAGTCAGTGTCGTGGAACAGGCACCGCTCTTGCAGCCTGTGGTGGGGCGGCTGCCCCAACCCCACGTTAGAGGGAGCTGCAGCAGGCCAGTGGGCCTGCGCAGACGAACAGCCAGTAGGAAAAGGGCTTATTGGGAGCCATTCAGGGCCCAGATTGGAGACAGCTAATCAGGGCCAGGCTCAGCCCTATAAAAAGGCTGCTGAGGGAGGGAGCAGGCAGTCTGTCCCAGGCCTTTGACAGGGGAAGGTCTGTCTCCAGATCTGGGAGACTAGCACCTGGACAGCGAAGTGCTGGCCAGGCTCGGGGAGCAAAATGGAGCTCTAGCCCGTAGCCTGCCAGGCTGCTGGCCCTGAAGGGAAGGGCCTAGCGGGTGCAAGGGGCTGTAGGGGAAGCGGCCCAGGGAAGTGGACAGATGAGGGGAGAGAAGGAGGACAGCAAGGCTGCCGCCAGAGGGTCCCTGGGCCAGGACCCAGAGTAGAGGGTGGACCTGGGTCCCCCCTTCTACCCCTTGCAGTACACCCAGCCATTGGCCATAGGGAGCGGCCATTATAGACTACGCCAGATCCCTGACAAGAGGGATTAGACTTTGGGGTGTGTGGTTATACATGGTGGCTGGGGCGTAGAGAGACTGCTGATCAACCCCTCCCCCCGGAAGGGGGTGTGGATGGACTGAGGGGCACTGCCGGAGGGCAGTGGTCCGGAAGAGGATGCCGCGAGCTGGTGAGCGATGTGGGCTCAGACGCCAACCAAGGGTGAGACAACGGGTGGGACACCACGAGGAGAGGGCGCTCCACTGGACTGAGCTAATTCCTGGAGACTTCAGGCGGGAGGCGCTGCAGTGGTGAGTCTCAACCCTGTCACACAACCTGTCTAGCAGGTTGTATAGCTTTAAGCGGGAATAAGCGATGGTGAAACAGGCTATGAAGACATTGGTGTTGCCAGTTTGCATGCTTCCAAGACACTGTTCCAAACGCATGCTGTTTCATCATCGATAAACTTGCAGGATGAAACCTCGTAATTGGGGGGAAACAGATACTGAAAGAGTTTGTCAGGGTCTCTCACGAAGCTGGTATTGGGGAGGTTTGTGCTTTGACCGAATTTACTCCACAGAGAATTTAAAAACATGGGAATGACAGGAAGGGGGGGGGGAGGAGCTAAGAAAGAAGAATAGAAAATGGCTATATCTAACAAGGACAATTACCAAACAGGTCATGGAAAAACACCCAAATCAGAATAAGTAGGATTAACTAGTCCATACTATGTCTAAAGAGACGTGGTTGTATACATCTGATTGTGAAAGAGCACACACAAAAATGAAACAGATATGGGATGGAAAACACCTGACATTATAATGAAGGCTCAGACCTTCCCCAGGCACTGGGTGCAGTTCATAGGAGCTGTAGAATTAAAAGTCATTGTTGTTTAATGCATGATTGTTTCCAAATTATTGTGAAACACAAGCTTCTTATTTCTTAATAAAGCTTCATTGTTTCAAAATATATATCTATCAGCAGCACCCTGATTACTGACATTGCTGCAGTCTGGAGAAGGCTGTAGGCCCAGCAAGGGCAATTATACACTTTCTGGTGGGGGATTGTAAGCACCTGGGTGACAATCACTGGGTTAATAAGGTAATGGCGGAGAATATAAGGAGAGGAAAGAAGAAGCAAGGGGACCTCAAGAGGAGTTTGGATAGGGTTGCCAACAGGTCTGGTCAAAAAGGGGACCTGGCAGCATTTGGTCAGATGTACTGACCAGACACCAAAAGACCTGTTACCAGGGTGCCGGGTCATCAACCTGCACCAGAGCAGGCAGGCAGCAGGCTCTGTGTCCCAGCCCTAGAGCATGGGGAGCCCAGCTGGGGGGGGAAGGGAGGTGGAGAGGATTGAGTGACAAGGAAGGGGGTGGTGGGAAGAGAGCAGGGGTGGGGCCTGTGGGAAGAGGCGGGGCAGGGAAGGGGTCTGAGGGGAAAGAGGTGGAGTTGTGGGGTCTGGTTTTCAAAAATTAGAAAGTTGACAACCCTAAGCTCGGCAAGTGAGCCTGGGCTTGGGAGTGAGGGCTGCAGGGAAGCCTGTCCTTGCTATAAGCCTGTGTTGCATGTTATTATGATGTAAGGGAGAAATAAATGCACACCTTGGTGAAGGATAAACCAACTGATGTGTGTTTATGACTGCGGAATCATCTGAACTGGCCAGGCAGTGAGGTTCACCGGATAGTGACAGAGGCGCCCTCTGACAAAGGAAAATGTTTAGCTCTAAAAGCGGATTTATTTTTTCTAGTATACTGATACAGCGGCTTCCTGTGAAAGTCAAGGATTCCCACAGCTCAGATCTTCTCTAAAGGGAAGAAGCAACGGATGGTTCTGTTAATAATCAGAGCTGGCTGGCAGGGCCGGCTCCAGGGTTTTGGCCGCCCCAAACAGCCAAAACCAAAAAAAAAAAAAAAGCCGCGATCGCGATCTGCGGCGGCAATTCGGCGGGAGGTCCTTCACTCCCAGACGGAGTGAGGGACCGTCCGCCGAATTGCCGCCGAATACCTGGAACGGCCGCCCCTGTCCGGAACGGCCGCCCCTGTCCGGAACGGCCGCCCCTGTCCGGAACGGCCGCCCCAAGCACCTGCTTGAGAAGCTGGTGCCTGGAGCCGGCCCTGCTGGCTGGCTCAATACTTAATAACAGCAATAGCAAAGGTTGTGAATGTTTACTCCAATACAAGGCTTCCCCTTCACTGGTTTTGTGTTCATGCCCCTGTTGCGTTCACACTACACAAATGTTTGAGTGAACAAGTTTCATTGGCAAGCAGAAATATTGGTGGAAACTGACTTTTCTGTGAATATTCACAGAAAACTAATTTTGAACCTGTAATTGCCAGTATTCACACCACAGGTCTGTGGGTGTTGTGTGTGCTCAGCACCACCTAGTGGCTTCTCCCCTTAGGCTGGGGGAGGGGCCTTCATCTGTGGGTGGACTTGCTCCCACCCACCTTCCCAGCACTGTGTCACACACATACCACTCACCATCACGCCATTAGAGAGATACAAAGATAATAGTAACTAGAGAATTGCATGCTTTGTTGCTTATGTAGGCCGAACTATATACCCAATGAGAATGTTAAGCTGCTGCCAGTGCTATATGCAAGCAAGCAGCAGGGGGCACCAGAGAGATGCCCCTGCTTGCAGCAATTTGGTGGTAGGGAAGGGATGTGTAGGCAGCTGGGGAGGAGTAATGGAGACAGAGAGGGGGGTTGTTTCCATTTCCCCCTGCACTCAGCCAATGTCTACAATTAAAACACTACAGCAGCACAGCTGCACTGCTATAGCGCTTCAGTGTAGACACTAACTAAAGCATCAGGAGGTGTTTTCCCGTTGCTGTAGTTAATCCACCTCCCTGAGAGGTGATAGCTAGGTCAATGGAAGAATTATTCTGTCAACCTAGAGCTGTCTACACCAGGAGTTTTAACTACGTCTCTCAGGGGGTATGGATTTTTCACACCCAAGAGGCATATCTATGCCAATGTAACATCAGTGTAATTACTTTGTCCTTACTCTCCAAATATTCATTAACCTATCCCCATCCCCTCCGACCTGAAGTTCACACACATTTCCCACCAAAACCCTCCTTTACCCTACAAGCCCTGGCCGGGAACCACTCCCCCCGCCCCACACACACACACACAAAACCACAGCCCTTCTCCTTTCAGAGTTAATATATGTGGAGGTTGTGCTAATAGTTCCAGGGTTTATTATTATAAACAATCCCTGCTCCCCTTCCCCACACTCTGGCTCCCTACTTTACCCGGTGCTTTTGCACTTGTCAGGGCCGGCTCCAGGCACCAGCAAAACAAGCAGGTGCTTGGGGCGGCACATTTCTAGGGGCGGCATTCTGGCGCCAGCCATCATAGGTGCCGACTCCGGGGCATGGAGAAAAAGTGCCCCCGCTACCCCAGCTCGCCTCCACTCCGCCTCCGCCTGCTCCCCTGAGCGCACCACAGCCGCTCCGCTTCTCCCCCCTCCCTCCCAGGCTTGCTGCACGCAAAACAGCTGTTTCGCGCAGCAAGTCTGGGAGGGAGGGAGAAGAAGCCGAGCGGCGGGCACTCGGGGGAGGCAGCGGTGGTGGACCGGAGGTGAGCTGGAGCGGGGGGTGGTTCCTCTACCCCCCGTTACTTCCTGCGCCCCACCACCCTAGCTCACCTCCACTCCGCCTGCTACCCTGAACGTGCCGCTGCTCCGCTTCTCCCCCCTCCCTCGGCTGGGAGGGAGGGGGGAGAAGTGGAGCAGCAGCGCCCCCAGGGGAGCAGGCGAAGCGGAGGTGAGCTAGGTCGGGAGGTCACGGGGGGGCCCCAGGAAGCAATGAGGGGAGGAAATGTGACACGCCCGGGGGAGGAGGCGGGGCTGGGGATTTGGGGAAGAGGTTCGGAAGGGGAGGAGTTGGGGCGGGGCCGGGAGCAGAGGGGCACAAAAAAAAGGGGGGGGCAACATTTTTTTTGCTTGGGGCGGCAAAAATCCTAGAGCTGGCCCTGGCACTTGTACCTGCATTTACATTAGGGAGTCTT